GCAATAAGTGAGCATTTATTACGGCAAGGTCATGTTGATGTGGCTGACATGTTGATACAGGTAAGATTGCACAGTGATGCAGACTACATGTGCAAAGTCCTCTTTTACAATTTATGGGCTACTATGCTAATTTTGAATGCCAAAAATTTGTTGTTCTTTTTTTACTTCTGCGGAGAGTGAATAATACTCGATTCAAGATCAGATTATTTATTATTTTTCTTTCATCGTGAATTTAGACTTAAGATAGTATGTTGTTATTAGTACCCAATTGCTGTAACTCATTGCATTGGCACTTGGAGAGGGTTTTTACACAGAAATGAGTGACATCAATTAAAACATTTTTAACATCCATTGCCACATTATCTGTAGGATTTATTCCTTAGTTTCTAACATCTTGTTATTTTACATCAGGAAGCCAATCTGACACTTGATGAAAAGCAAAAAGAACCTTTTTTGGAACTTAACCGGATTTTAGAAGAATGCAAAAATCATAACGTGGAACCTGCACTCAGGTATAAAAGGCCACTTATAATCATAAAGTCCTGTCATTGGTAACGACTATTAGTTCGTGATTTCTATAAAGGAGTGATAATTTGAAAATATCGATTAAAGCCGTGGTCAAAATTATTTAGACACCTACAAAAGATTTCTCTCTCTCTAAGTTTTCCCCTCCCTTTTGCAATATTATCAGATATTTGATAGCTGTCTGAAAAATCTTGAAAGCAACACAACTCTCTTCTGATAAAATAGTTAAGCCTACCATTTCCATTTTTATTCCATGCCTTTGGCCTAGTTACATATGCGAGAAAAGAGCGAAAGTGACTGAAAATGATAAACGAGAAAAGAGACAAACGTGTATTAGGTCTTTTATTTCTCCATATTTTGCAAGGTACCCCGTGTAAATTTGTTCTTTTTCCATCAAAGGTGGGTTCAACTAAAAAGGGATGAGCTCCAATCAAAAAACAGCTCTCTTGAATTTAAGTTGCATAGACTGAAATTTATAGATTTGGTGAAAGAGGGACAGTGGAGAGAGGCTCTGGAATATTCGAAAAATTTTTCACGATTTACTACTCAAATAAAAGGTATCTGTGTTTAATGTCTTTGTATAGCTTAGTATAGGCAAGATTTTGTGCTTTTGTTTTTACTATGTAAAATAGCAGCATTTTTGGTTATAGCAGCATTGCATTACGTTGTTGCAAAGCTTTGAATGGTTTACATAAATACTGCAGTTGTACACAGCATGGAAGATTTATACATTTACCAATGTTTACAGATACATGTTTACAGTAAACAGGGCAAAAAAGTATTATGATTTTGAAATCATTAGCTGACTTTTAACATGAATTTACCAAAGTATTAGAGGTCCTTAGGGATGAGACACGCTTCGTTTCAAGCTGCCCGTTACATCATATTCCTGCTTTAGATTTTACCCAGGCATAATAATAATCAGCCCATTTAAAAGATTTGAAGATAACGCAAAAAAGCGAGAACATAGCTTCCTTACGTGCGTTTACGTTACGTGCGTTTACGTTACGTGCGTTTACGTTACTCGGTGCGTTTCGTCCTCAGTGCAAAAAGGCTTGGATAATTGCTAAGCGTAAGCTGAAATTTATATCCAGATGCAGATCGAAAGATAGCGAGAGGAAGAATGGCTCATTTGATTGGCGCCTTGTTTATGACCAGGGATCTAAAAATTGGCGGACGGGTGTACATTCGTACCTAAAATATAGTACCTAAAATATAGTGCCTGAAAATATAGTACAGGTTTGACTTCGTACGGTAAAACCACCAACAACAAAAAACGACAATACAATCTAAGGATAGCCCGGCATCTCGTGAGCTGTCATAACCATGACAACTCGCAAGAACTTGTGAGCTGTCATAACCATGTCACCCCTAAAAAGATCCGGAAGATTTTAGCATCATGGAAAACCAAAACCCCTATGCCAGGACCCCTATGATTTGATGCGGACATTTTAGGGCCATCTCACACCTTTAGAACCAGTGATCTAGAACTATATCAGAAAATAGGCGCAACAGAAGGAAAAAGAGGAATCTAGCCAAAAGATAGCCAGGAAGCAAAGAGGAAAGGAAAATGAATAGTAAACAAAACTTGAGAAGAAGCAAGGCTGAGCCAATCTATTCTGATATTTTTCAGTCATTCATGCTTCATTGAGTAGAAACCTTTTATCCTTTTAATTTCTTTCAGAAATTCAGCGACTAATGGGCTGCTTTGCTTTCATGAGGATTGGATTGGAGAATTCTCCATACTCGGATTTGCTGGATCCGGTAAATTGGCTAGAAATCAATGACATTCTTGCCCGAGATGCTTGCACACTTCTTGGTCTCTCCATCAGCAGTCCTCTTGAAGTCAGGTAATAAAGCGTTCTCCTTTTTCGATATAAAATCAAGTCGATGATTGTAGAAGTTAATGCCTTTTAGTTGATGGTTTAACTGTTGTTTTGAGACTCTATCGACTCTGTTCACTGCGAAATATGCTACTATCTAAACTCTACGTGACGCGTGCAAAAAGTTCTAACTCAGCGATCATTAGAACTTTCTAGAAGCTTCTAATTAGCTGACAATAGAGCAGCAAGCAATCTACTCTAACACGTGTCCTACACTAGCTACTAATTACGAAGGTCATTAGTTTACTTACAAACGCAGCAATTACGTAACTGTTGAGTGCACGTTCCCAACACTCCCACTCAATCAACAGTTTCTTTTCAGGTTTTATTGCATTCCGAGCTTGCAGCGTAGGTACTCAAATTGACCTCTGTTCAGTGATTTAGTAAGTAAGTCAGCCAGCATTTCTTTCGTGTTGCAATATTTTAGTAGCAGAGTCCCTTTCTCTACTTGTTCTCGAACAAAATGATACCTTATGTCGATGTGTTTCGTCCGTTTATGTCCGACTGGATTTTTTGTCATCGAAATTGCTCCTTGGTTGTCTTCCATGATGGTTATAGGTTGCACATTGTCTCCTATTTCTCTAAACAGTTGCTTCAGCCATACGACCTCTTGGGCAGCTTTACTCGAGGCAATGTACTCTGCCTCAGCGGTTGAAAGAGCCACTGTTGATTGTTTTTGACTAAGCCAGCTAATGGCACCTCCGGCCATCATGAAGACATTTCCAGTGGTTGAGTGGCGATTCTGCATATCGTCAGCCCAACTAGCATCACTAAATCCCGTAACTTCTTTGCTTTCTGATTTCTTGTAAACCAGCGAAAGATTGATTGTTCCTTTCAGATAACGAAATACCCGTTTTACTGCAGTAAGATGCGCTTCTGTTGGTGCTGAATTGAATTGAGAAAGAGCTCCCACTGCTTGAGCGATATCAGGCCTTGTTGCGATGGCAGCATAGAGTAAACTCCCTATCATAGACTGATATTGAATGTTATCAACAGGCTTACTGTTTCCATCATCTGCTACAAGTTTGACATTTGGATCAAGAGGTGTACACACTGGATTAGCATCTTGAAGTCCATAGCGCTTCAGCAATTTTTCAATGTACTGCTTCTGTGATAGACTGACTCCTTCTTCGCTTTGCTCAACGCTGACTCCAAGGCAGAAATGAAGGCTGCCCAAATCTTTCATCTTGAAATTCTTTCTCAGGTTTACTTTCATTTGTTTCATTTCATCTTGAGTAGTGGATATGATGATTAAATCATCTACGTAAACAGCAATAATTGTCAAATTGTTTCTTTCAAGAGATCCTTTCACGAAGATGCACGGATCTGCTTGGCCTTGTCTGAAATTTAGTGATTCGAGCGCGTTTCTAAATTTTCGATTCCAGCAACGTGGTGATTGCTTGAGTCCATAGAGGGATTTTTTGAGCCTGCAAACCAGATTCTCTTTTCCACGTATCACGTAACCCTCTGGTTGCTCCATATAGATTTCTTCCGTTAAATCTCCGTTCAGAAATGCCGTAGTTACATCCATTTGATGAATCAGCATTCGGTTTTGAACTGCAAAAGCCAGTAAGGCTCGAATAGAACTGAACCGCACGACAGGAGAAAAAGTTTCATCAAAATCGACGCCGTACTTCTGAGAATACCCTTTTGCTACTAAACGACTTTTGAAACGTTCCACTTGTCCATTTTCGTCATACTTTACTTTGAAGACCCACTTGCACCCGATAGCCTTTCGGTCTTTTTGTGGCTTCACTAACTCCCACGTTTGGTTCTCTATGAGTGACTGATACTCTGAATCCGTTGCTTCTTTCCACTGTGCGGAATATTCACTATTGAAGGCTTCTTGGATGGTAGCTGGTTCTTCGATGATTGCTGAGAATACAACATGTCTTGCTTCTGTGACGTCAGCATACTCATCCAAGCCAAATCGAGGTGGTGGTACCCCTTTTGTGGATCTTTGAGATCGTCGAGGATGGCTTTCTTCTGCATCCGTGTTCCTTTCCGTAGGCTCTGTTTGTCGTTTATCTTCCTTTGCTGGTTCTGGACCCATCTTCAAATACTGTTTTTGAGATCCAAAATCATTTTCATTGAAGTTAACGTCTCTTCTGATCACTATTCTCTTGCTCTGCATATCAAAGAGTCGGTATCCTTTCTGATTTGCACTGTAGCCCAAGAATCGAAGTCTGTTGGCTTTCTTGTCCAACTTTCTTCGCTCTGCCTCTGGAATATGAGCATAAGCTATGCAGCCGAACACACGAAAGTGGGAGACATCAGGGGGTTTTCCATACCATTTTTCATACGGTGTTTGACCTGATGCGCTGGTTATAACACGATTCCTTATGTAGGCTGCAGTGTTGACTGCTTCTGCCCAGAAGGTCTTGCTGAGTCCGGCATGGTTCATCATCGCTTTTGCGGATTCAACGAGAGTCCGGTTCATGCGCTCAGCCACTCCATTCTGTTGTGGAGAGTGAGGAACAGAAGTTTCGTGTTTGATACCTTTCCTTTTCAGAAGATCTTCAAATTCATTTGATACATACTCTCCGCCATTATCTGTACGCAAGGTTCCAATTTTACATGCAGCTTCATTGGTTGCAGAGGCTTCAAATTCTTTAAACCTCTTTAGTACCTCAGACTTCTTTCTAATGAAGTAGACTTTGACACATCTCGAGTAGTCATCAATGAATGTGACAAAATAACGCTTTCCTGAAAAGCTCTGTATTGACATTGGTCCACATACGTCGCTGTGAACTATCTGTAATTTTCTAGAAGTCTTGATCCCCTCTGTTGACTTGAAGGGTTTTCTGCTCATCTTACTTTCCGCACACCCTGTACAAAAGTTCAGTTCGTCATTTCCTTGGATGGCAACTCCTTTGATGAGCTTCTTCTTGACTGATTCCAATAGCTGTTTTCTATTTATATGTCCTAGCCGTTGATGCCAAATATCCATCGTGCTAGGGTTGCTATTTTCCATCCTTTCAGATTGGTGATAAGCTGCTGTTATATCTGTTTCGCAGCTCAGAACGTACATTCGCTCAACGAGTCTTCCTTTGCCTACAGCCTTACCGTCGGAGTCCTTTATCCAGCAACAAGTATGTCCGAACTGAACAATGAGTCCCTTCTGTGTCACAGCTCGCACACTGAACAGGTTGCAAGCTAGTTTCGGAACATAGAGTACATTATCCATTTCAATTGTCAGCTGCTTGTTGTGGCTTGTTTCCATGGTTATTTGAGCTCGTCCTGATCCACGGGCTTCCACTGTATGTCCGTCACCCAGTTTGACTAATTCAGGCTGGTTGAACTCTATGTAGTTAATCAAAAGCAGTTTGTTTGAGGTCATATGCTGCGAGGCACCCGAATCCAGAATCCATTGTCTGTTTGTCTCATTTTCTGTTTGTTTATTTTCAGCTAGAAAGAGTTGAGAGTCTGAGTCATCATCTGCCTCCTTTCCTGCAGTCTTTGCGTTATGTGTTTCATTTTTAAATGAATTGCTGGGCCTCACTTGCTTCCTTTTGTGACATTCAAAGCTTTTATGACCCTCCTTGCCACAGTTGTAACATTTGCCTTTGAAAGGCCTGCTGATGCCCTTTTCC